GGTGTTTTGAAGAAGAGGGATTAGATGCTGACTGGTCAAAAATATTGATGCATATCCACCTTGGAAATGGGATTCTGGACAGAACAATGTGTATTTGTCTATTTATAAAGCTCTAATGCAGGCTTTCCAAGGCCCAAAACTTCTTACTGGGGGTGCAACAAAGTTTAGAGTGCCCTGTCCAGCTTGGCCATCAGTAACACAGGTGGAGGGTTTAGGAGGGAGGAGGAGATGTCAAGGAAGATTGAAGCTGGAGAGAATCAGCCCTGAGGTTCAATCAGATTCAGCACACATTCATATGGTCAATATGGACTGGATACTGCAGACAGAGACAGGATTAGACAGCAGCCCTGACGAGTAGAGGAGGATGAGAGGGGCTCCGAATTACGAAATGACAATGCCGCTAATCAATGTGAGCATTAGTGTATTTACAAAGGGCTGTGGCTGCACAGGGGAGTGGCTGGCTCACTGCCCAGATAATCCTGGAAGGGCTTTGGAGAAGAGGTGCAATGTAAGCTGGGTCTTAAAGAATGTCTGGGTAATCTCTGGAGAGAGAGGATGGGGAAGGCATTGTTCGTCCCTGTGATGGTTAATTTTATGTCTCAATTTAACTGGGCCATGGAGTGCCGAGATATTTGGTCAAATATTATTCCAGGTGTGTCTGTGAGTGTGTTTTAGGATAAGACTAACACTTAAACCAGTGAGTTGAGTAAAGCAGATAGGCTCTCCCCAGTGTGAGTGGGCTTTGTTCAATCAGTTGAAGGCCTGAATAGAAAAATAGGCTGACGCTCTCCCAAGTAAGAGGGAATTATTCCTACTTGGCAGTCTTCCAACTGGACTTTGGGCTTTTCCTGCCTTTATACTAGAACTGAAATGTCAATTCTTTTTAGTTCTCAAGCTTGCTAGCCTTCAGACCACAACTGCACCACTGGCTGTCCTGGACCTCCAGTTTGCCAACTCACCCTGCAGATCTTGGGACACGTCAGCCTCCATAATTGTGTAACCCAATTACTTATAATACATTTCTTTGGTTCTGCCTACATTGGTTCTGTTTCTCTGGAGAACCCTGACTAATCCAGTGCTCCATGAATGTGGAATGAATGAGTAAAAGAATAAATGAACAGCCACTTGCAAATCCTCTTTCAATGGCAAAGTCTACGATGAAAAGTCCAACTCAAAAAAGCAACATAGAGCCCAAGAGGGGCTCCCTGGAGCCACTTCCAGGGGCTTGCATGTACCTGCAGGCTTCTGGGCAACATGCAAATGAAGGAGGTGGCCCTCCAAATGAAAGAAGATTGGCTCTCCTGGTCATAGCCTGGGCTTGAGCTTCTTTTCATTTTAACTTCTCCCTTCCCTTTTCCTCTGCTCCATCAGAAATGGCATCCCTGGGCTGACCAGCTCTTCCCAACATGACTGAATGACCAGCTGGACTAGAGTGTGGTCCACCCTGGTGCATCCTTGTGCAAGATAATAATTATTCACCAGCCCTAGAGTCAGCCAGACCTGGGTCAGAGAGTCAGCTCCACCAGGATGTCAACAAAACATATAAAGCTTTCATATAAAGGTTTTCCCTTTCATATTTCTGCTTTAACATTGCTCACAAGGTTTCAAAAGCTCAAGTGTGACCCACTTTCTTGAGCTACAACCTCCCATAATATTGTTTGTCACAAAGCATTCCTATGGCTTGGCACAGTGGCTCATGCCTGTAATCCCAGCACTTTGGGAGGTCGAGGTGGGCAGATTACGAGGTCAGGAGATCAAGACCACCCTGGTCAAGATGGTGAAACCCCATCTCTACTAAAAATACAAAACTTAGTCAGGTGTGATGGCATGCAACTGTAGTCCCAGCTACTCAGGAGGCTGAGGCAAGAGAATCATTTGAACCCAGGAGGCAGAGGTTGCAGTGAGCCGAGATTGTGCCACTGCCCTCCAGCCTGGTGACAGACTGAGACTCCATCTCCAAAAAAAAAAAAAAAAAAAAAGAAGCATGCCTAAGCATCTCCATGCATTGTCCCCATGCAGAGATCCTGTAGAGTCCCTTTTCTACCTTAATAACTACCTTTTTTAAAATGCTGTATATAAGGTACTAAGCTAAGCATTTCCCATTACAATATCTCATTTGATTCTCAAGAAAACTCTAGACATGGGATCTGCAGGGTAGTTCTCTGGGTGGCCTTAGACCAACCCAGTTCTCCCTCTTTCTTTATCTGTAGTTCTCAAGAATAACTGCAGGACGTGCTGGAAATAAAACATCCTGAGATTACAGGCGAACTGGCCAGGACAGTCCAGGTTCTGTTCCAATCCCTCCCTAGAAACTAGATGTCCTTCCATGCTTAGCCCAGGGAGTCTTGTTACCCTGAGGTATAAAACTCAGTGTGGGCTGCTTTCTGAAGTCCCTCAGCTGCTATGAAAGTGGAGCACGTGCAGTTGAGACTCCATCCACCCAAGGAGCTTTCCTGAACCTTGGAGGACTGGCTTAGTGATGAATCCTAGGTTTCTGTTGTCTCTTGCTGCCTGCCTGTCTGTAAGTAATAAACTTGTTGTGAGCCTTGGTGTTCCATCTCACCAGACTCAGACCAGTTGGTAACCACTGCACAGGAAACCTTCTTCACAGGGTCTACGATTACAGAAGGGGAAACCCAGGGTCGAAGACATCATTTGTTAAAGACCAGAGAGCTGGTAAGCAGCGAAACCTGCCCTAACTACTGCATATTTCCTCTGGTGGCCCTGTTGTAGAGAAGAAAATAATAATCTGAATCAGAGGACAATATTTTAATCCAAAAGCTACGTGGCTACAGGTTGAAAGCAGAAGTCAGAGCTATCCACAGGTGCAGGAGCCAGTGGGCCATCATCCCTCAGCAGTGGGAAGATGGCATGGGCAACCAGGCTGAGGTTTGCTGGTAGCCAAGCTCTAGGCTTCAGCAGCCACATCTCATTTTCCTGAGATCAGAGCAGAAGCTCTGCTCCTCTGCCTCTCAAGTCATCCATTCTGACCCTGGCATCCAGGTACCAAAGGGATTTTACAGCAACTTGTGGATTTTGTGTAAAACCACATTTAGGCATCGGGAGAGTTAAAGAACACCCCACCCTCTTGCTATTACCTGGAGGGAATTTGTTTTACCTCTTTTCTGTGAGATGACAGATCCATTCCAAAGCTCCTCTAAAATCTAGTGGGCAAATGGCAGGCATGTGTGGCATTGGTGAGTCTGGGCTCTGCCCTAAAGAGCCTAACATTTTAAGAGAAAATGTTAAGAAAGGACTTCAGTACTTGGAATCTGAAGACTTGGATTTGAGTCTTCAGTATATCACATGGTCTCTCTGGGTCTCAGCTTCCATTACTCAAAAACAGTAGCAATGTCTCCAGCAGCATCTATTTGAACTGCTTGGCTGTTCATGCTCCAGGAAAACTGCAGAGGTCAGTCCAAGGTCAAGAATATCCACCCTTAACAACCCAGAACCTCTTTCACAAGCCAAACAGAACCTAATTGTTGGAAGACAGCCAACTCTCACTTCAAAAAATAGCAATGTGTTCTATTGAAAATGCAATGTTTTAATAGTTTAATTTCTATGCATTTTAGCTTTGGAGATTAATTTCATGTTTGGAAAATTAATTTATTTAATGTAAATTGGTTTTGACTGTGAAAGAACTGAGATGAAAGTCTGGGGTGTGGCCTCCAATCATAATGACCATATGTGCATATCAATGGCCTCTCACTTCATTTGCTGCCTTGGCCAACTTCCGACCTTAGATGGCTCAAGACAGAATGGAAATATGGGAGAAATGCTAGTCTTTATTCCTTTTTGAAAGTTTAAATATAGAAACTGCTTTGAAATAAAAATTTCCCCCATGGACTTTTGAAGTCAGACTGAGCAGACAAAATAGGTATTTTATCAAACTTACCAAGATTATAAGAGAGTATGAATAAATTCCTTAATGTTTGCATGGGTGCACATACCCTTTGGAATTCTCATTGGGCATCCTGGAGACCATTCATGCATCCCCAAATATTTATTGAGAGTTCACTTAGTATCAGGCACTGTGCTACGTGGTAAGGCTACCCAGAGGAAGACAGATGTGATCATTGTCCGTTGGAGCTTGGAAGCAGGAGAGGCAGATATTAATGAAATGTTGAACAACTGTAGAAATATAATTTGTAATAAGGGCTCAGAGTAAAAATAGAGTATTCTAAGAATGTATAAGAGGGGACTTCCATAAGGGAAGGGACTAATAAGCAAAGACACAAAAGAACACACATGAACAAAGTGTGTGTGTGTGTGTGTGTGTGTGTGTGTGTGTGTGTGTGTGTGTTTTGGGAAGTAGAAAGGGAGAGGAATTGTTTGGGGTTTAAGAAACAGAGAGAGAGTGTGGCAGCAGTGCAGAGTGCAAGAGGAATACTGATATACTCAAATGCTATAGACAGTGGCCAGGTGCCTTAGAAAAGATTTTGGTCTTTTTTGAAAGAGCAGTAAGAATTTATTAAAGGATCCTAAGTAAGGGGATAGGTGATCAGATTAATACTCTTAAAAGATATTTTGGCTGCTATATGGAGATGAGATTCAGAAGGAAGCCTGTGTGGAAGCAAAGAGATCAGTTAGGAGGCTGTAGTAGAATCATGGCTTGGACTAAGCTGGTGGTAGAGTAGATGGAGGGAATGAATGGATTCGATAATTATTTAGGTGGTCAAAACAACAGGACTTAGTGATGGACTGGCCACAGGAGGAGGGGAAAAAGAAGCTGGCATCAAGAATGATGTCCAAGTTTCTAGCTCACATAACTGAGTGGGTGATGGTGTCACCCATGGAGATGCAGGCTCATGCTGGAGTAGGGGACTGATGTAGAGACTCAAGAGTTCCATGTTGAGCATGTTAGCATGAGGGACCTTTGAGACGTCAGGCCTGTGTTTAGGAAAGCAAGCTGGGCTAGAGATGGACATGTGAGAACCCTCTTAGCCTTCGATTGAGCTGGGATTAGAAGGTGTCAGAAAAGTGAGAAGCCCTTTCCTGTACCCTATTAAGGTTGACACAGTGCTTTAAGAGCCTAACACAGAAAGGTAAAGCAAGTAAGTAAGTTTCCATAAAACCCAGAGACAATATTGTAAAATTCCTTTGAATCATGTCTGAAGTCACAGCTGAAAAAAATAAAAAGAGAAAGGAGAATACAAAATGAACCTGAGGCAACTCCAACATTCCAGCTCTGTAAAATTGTCTCCACCACAAGTTGTGACCCTTGGCCTGTGCAGTTCTTTCATGTGCCATGTGTGATATATTTGCACCTCACCGCTGATGTACTTTTTTCCAGTATGAACCTTTCTTTTTGCCCTCTGATTGGATAATTTCATAAGTTTTGTTGTTAAGCTCACTAACTCTTTCCTCTGTTCTGTTAAGTCTGCTGTTGAAGCTACCTAATGAGTTTTTCAGTTCAGTTATTATATTCTCTATTTCTAGAATTTCTATCTGATTTTTTTTTTTCATTATTCCTATTTCTTTGCCAAATTTCTCGATTTTGTTCCTGGATTGCTTTCCAAGTTTGCTTTTTTTTTTTTTTTTTTTTGAGACAGAGTCTCACTCTATTGCCCAGGCTGGAGTGCACTGGTGCAATCTCAGCTCACTGCAACCTCTGCCTCCTGGGTTTAAGCAATTCTCTTGCCTCGGCCTCCCAAGTAGCTGGGATTACAGGTGCATGCCACCACGCCTGGCTAATTTTTGTATGTTTAGTAGACAAGGGGTTTCATCATGTTGGCCAGGCTGGTCTCAAACTCCTGACCTCAAATGATCTGCCCACCTCAGCCTCCCAAAGTGCTGGGATTACAGGCGTGAGCCACTGCACCAGGACTGCTTTCCAAGTTTCATTTAATTTTCTAATTGTATTTTCTTGTGATTTCCTTAACTTGTTTAAGAAGATTCTGAATTCTCTCTCTCATTTCATGGATCTTCAATTCTTCTGAGCCTATTGTTTGAACTTTCTTAGTTTCTTTTGGTGATGTCATATTTCTCTGAGTTTTCACAATCCTTGCATCTTTACATTGATGCTTGCATATCTGAGGAAACAGGCATCTCTTTCAGTTTTTGGAGGTGTTCACTGCTTGTGTTCAACCTTTACTACTTAGTATTAGAATTGAAACACTAGCCTGTTGTTTCCTCCCTTTCTGGGGAGGACTTACAGTGAGCACTAGAACTAAAACAGTGCGCTGGGGCTAAATTGTTGCTTTATCATTGTTTCTTGGTCTAGGGAAAACTTACAGTAAGCACAGGAGGCTAAATGTTGCCCCAGAACTATATGCCCACCCTGACAGTTTCCCAGTCTGGGGAAGACTTAAGCAGGTACTGGAGCTTAATCCTGACCTTTTAGTTGTTTCTGGGCCACGGAAATGCTTTCAGCAAGTACCTGGGCATTATGGAAATCCAGCCAGGCATTTGGGCTTTTCCACGGACTGTGCTCCCTGCAGCCCTATGACTCTAGCCAGTTTCTTCAACATGGCATCCCCACCAATCAGAGCACAGAGTAGCCACCCAGATCCAAGTGCCAGTGCTGCAATCAGCATCCTGCTCTTTGTCTCTAACCCACCCTAGGTGGTTCAGCCCTCCTGGCACTCCCAATGGTTCCCACGGGACAGGACCAGAGTGGGCTTCCCTTGAAGATTCCCAGATCACAGGGAAATCAAACATCCACCCCCAATTCCCTCCTCTAACTCCTAAAACCATGGATCAAGGGAAAATCTCTGTTCATAGCATTCTGCCTGGCTAGGGAGAAGACAGCACAGTCTGAAATGACGACTTCCCTTAGTGGTCACGGATTCTCTCAACTCTGTGAGTCCAGGGTTTTCTCTGCTTCTCCTTCAAGTGTTGGTGTATTGGTGAACTCAGGGTGGTATTCTGGTTTTGAATAGTTTCTAGTTGTATTTTTCTGAGAGGGGTGATGCCAAGGGACCTTATACTCCTGCCATCTTAGTGACATCATACCAATCCAAACTTTTCATCAACACATCATCTATGTAGTTTGTATTCTGGCTAAGATATATGATCTGAATCTAATGATGAGAAAACAATCAGATAAATCGAGATTACGGAGCAACATACAAGTCAAGTAGTGTGGCCTCTTCAAAAGTGTTAATTTCATTAAAGACAAAATTAAATTAAAATAAAAAACAAGGAGACAGGCGGGGCACAGTGGTTCATGCCTGTAATCTCAGTACTTTGGGAGGCTGAGGCAGGTGGATCACCTGAAAGGTCAGGAGTTCAAGACCAGGCTAGCCAAAATGGTGAAACCCCATCTCTACTAAAAATACAAAAATTAGCTAGGCATGGTGGCGGGCACCTGTAATCCCAGCTACTGTGGAGGCTGAGGCAGGAGAATCGCTTGAACCCAGGAGGCAGAGGTTGCAGTGAGCCAAGATCATGTCCCTGCACTCCAGCCTGGGTGACAGAGCAAGACTCCTTGTCAAAAAATAAATATATAAAATAAGGAGACATTTCTGGAATCTTGATTTAAGGAAACCAAGGAGACAGAACAACCAAAAGAATACATGACCCTTGATTGGTTCCTCCTGACTTGAAAGGAAAAAATTATAAGGGTTATTTTAAGGACAATAGGGGAAATTGAAACATGGTATTCATGGGGATCATCATGCTATTGGAATTACACAGGAGAATGTCCTGGTTCTCAGGAGGTATGTACTGAAGTGTTTAGGGATGACGTATTTGCAACTTTCAACTGGTTCAGAAAAAAGAAAGTATTGTTGAAAAACGCACCCTTTGAATGAAGAGACCTTCCAAACAGGTTTGGGTGAGCAACATGGCTGTTTACTCACCTGGGTGCAGGTGGGCTAAGGCCAAAAAGGGCATTAGCAAAGGGCAGTGGGATAGGAGTTAGTTTTATAGGTGTGGGTAGTTTTTTAGGGGGTGGGGGTGTTGCAGAGTAAGATCAGTTACAGTGGTGGGGGTCACAGGCAAGGAGTATACATGACCACAAGTTCAGTTACAATGGCAGGGTTGGGTGAGAGGTATTTTACATTATCATAAGAACAGTTAAGATGGCAAGGAGGGTTGGGTGAGGGGTTTGTCTGGGGAAGCTCCACTGGGCGAAGAGGGACAATGGCAAAAGCAGGCAGGGGGTGGGAGACATCAGCCGAGGCAAGCAGGACTTCAGACTTTCAGGCTCTAGGCTTGCTTGCATATGGAGACCTGACAAGTATACACAGAAAGAGAAATGACACAAATATAGGACTGTGTTAACAAATCGGAGACTCTAAGTGAAAAGTATATGGGTATTCATTGCACTACTTTTGTAAATTTTCTTCAATTTTTTCAAGATGAAAAGTTAATGAAATTGCAATGACTTTTTTTTTTTTGTTTGTTTGTTTGTTTTTGTTTTTGTTTTTTTTTTTTTTTGAGACAGAGTTTCGCTGTTGTTACCTAGGCTGGAGTGCAATGGCGCGATCTCGGCTCACCGCAACCTCCGCCTCCTGGGTTCAGGCAATTCTCCTGCCTCAGCCTCCTGAGTAGCTGGGATTACAGGCACGCGCCACCATGCCCAGCTAATTTTTTGTATTTATAGTAGAGACAGGGTTTCACCATGTTGACCAGGATGGTCTCGATCTCTCGACCTTGTGATCCGCCCGCCTCGGCCTCCCAAAGTGCTGGGATTACAAGCTTGAGCCACCGCGCCCGGCCTAAATTGCAATGACTTCTAAGACTAACTCTCCAGCGTTAAGCCAATCTTCCTTCCCAAGCTATGTGTATAATCCTCCACAAGACTGCCTTCACTTCAGACACCAGCTGCAAGTTTAGGAGTCCTACATCTGACCAACTGGCTACAAACTCAGGAGTCCTCATTACCCCCCTCAAGTTTGATATTCACTAGAATGATTCACAGAACTCAGGAAAGTGCTGTCCTTACCATTAATTTCATTATAGCACAGCATATGAATCAGAACCAGCCCAAGGAGAATATATAGGCCAAGGTATGAGAGGGTTCCAGATGCAAAACTTCCACTGTCTCCTCCCAGTGGAGTCAGGACTTATTCCCCTCCCCGCACATTAATACATGACAGTACACAAGGTATTGCTAGTCAGGGGAGCTCACCTAAATTACAGTGTCCAGAGCTTTTACTGGGGTCTTACCTTGCAGGCATGATTGATTAAATCATTGGTCTCCTTCTCCTAGGAGGCTAGACTGATATCACATGGCTAAAAGCCCCATCCCTCTAATCACACAGGGTTCTTCCTAGTGTGGCCTGCTCCCAGTCTGAGTCATCTCATTAGCTTAAACTATCAAGGTCCACTGTGAATAACAAAGACACTCCTCTCATTTAGAAAATTCCAATTATTTACAGGTTATCTACCTGTTAAGAACCCAGGACAAAGTCCAGCCGAACTTTTATTATTTATTTATTTATTTATTTATCTTTCTGAGACGGAGTCTCGCTCTGTCACCCAGGCTGGAGTACAGTGGCACGATCTCAGCTCACTGCATCCTCCGCCTCCTGGGTTCAAGTGATTCTCCTGCCTCAGCCTCCCCAGTAGCTGGGATTACAGGCATCAGTCACCAGGCCAGCTAATTTTTTTTGTAGTTTCAGTAGAGACGGGGTTTCACCAAGTTGACCAGGCTAGTCTCGAAATCCTGACCTCTGGTGATCCGCCCACCTTGGCCTCCCAAAGTGCTGGGCACGTGAGCCCCCATGCCCACCCAAACTTTTTTATTACACAGAAAAAGTTTTTAAAATATTTTAAAATATAAATATTTAAAATATCCATCTAAAGCCACAGTAGATAGGCCTAGAGCACTTGAATTAAAAAAAAAAAAAAAAAAAAAAAAAAAAAAAACTACTAGACTCCAAGGATATTGTTTCAGCTTCTGGCAGCCTTGAAACAGCAGCACAATCTGTTTACACCCTGAGTTTAAGGAAACCACTCAGGTGTCTCAACAGTTCCCATTTCAAAGGCATTAGGATAAGTCATTTCACTTTTCTACACAGGGTCAGCCACAAACAGTAAATATACAGTTGTGTGGGAGTGACAAATGAAAGGAAATGATTTACATTTGTTGCCTAATACTTCCCAATTCAATTTACTATGCCAAATTCTTATGATAATCACAGCCTATACTACTTCAATCAAATCAGATCCCTCTAA